GTGCATCTACATTACATGACATCTGAATGAAGTGGGGTTACTATGTATATATGTGTTGGACGAACCCATGCTTTCATGTGTAATGAATCTGGCTGGAACTGGGTTTGGTTCAGAACACCATCATATGATCATCAATTCGATCGTGTCATTGATTTTCACATGGAGGTTGATTAAGGTAGGTAGGACCTATTCCCCTTAGTCGGTAGCCAGGCTAGGCTAGGAGGGAAAAGAGTTTGATATGGGAAATCAAATCCAGATTCAGGCAGCACAACTAATAATTAATTGGCTAATTATTGATGATGTGTACATGAAAGATGGCAGCCAAATTAGTTGTTACTTGTACTAGGGCTTTTATAGCAAAGATGCATGATTAACAATTAAGAAGGCCACCTACTGAAACTGGACCAGTAGGCCCCTAAACTGCCAACAAGAGGCTGAGATTTGAGCTCGATTTCAACTTTCAAGCAGAGTTGTCAAGTAATTGTGATCATAAACTTCAAACTGATGAGGCTGTTGTATGATTGCACGAAGGGGGCAATGATCGATGCACATGCAGTTGTCTGCTTAATCAAAGAATGTATGATGTAAGAGCAGAAAGAAAAAACATCGAATCCAATTCTCTACCGAATAATACTCATACACATGATGATGAAGGTTCTGTGTCATTTGCAAATTTCTGATTGAGAAAACGTTAGATACGTGGTTCTTAATTTCTCGCAGATCATAACTCTAGCATTATCTATAAACCCTTTTTTCTAAATTTTGTTTGCTTAATAATATCCTTTTTTTCCCGACAATGGAATTAATAAAACCTTATATCGAAGTCTAAACTGATGGATGATTTTTAGCGGTACGAAACGGTTAAGTTATGGATAAATCACAGTTCTAGCACGAAATGTCATAGTGTTAGTTTTTTTTTCCCGATACAACCTCCATTATTGTCTTATATTCTTGGTATGGATATTATGGAGTGGGAATATTTCTTTGGAGGTAGAATCCACAAAAGTGAGTGTGGTTTACATACATAGGAAGGTGCCCAAAAATGAAGATTGGAAAAGATATCATGGACATTTCAAGCTACATGACACATGAAAATAATATGTGGGGATAAAAGGATAAAAATGAATAAAAAGGGACCCAAGGTCATGATCTAACAAGCTAGCCCTAGCACCATGGTTACATGACAAGTTGACAACACATTGTATAGAGCAGTGGGACAAGGTATGACCCACTTCCCCATTCTCTTATGCCACCAATTATTGCTTTCAGATTCATTTGACAATGACCAAAATCCCCCGGCCACAATAAAGAATTAAAGGTGAAAGGAAATAAAAACACCTTCATCTCGATAATAATTTATTTTTCGGAAAATATATAGAGTACAATTAATTATATTAAGGGTGATATCCACATGAACTCCGTAACATGGCTTCGTTTGAGTTTGATTCACAATCGATTGATTGGTAAATCAACATCGATCAAAAGTTATTTGTGAAGAATCAAATATTATTATTTTAGCGTTAAACTTGAAAATTTATTAACTTAAAATAGGGGACTAGGAGGAGGTTGATTATGCACTAGGATAACCTCACTAAACACCCCATCCGCGCGTGGAATGCACGCAATTGGAATGGAAAGTGGGGAGAGGAAAGGGGTACTAAGAAGAGAGAGAGGAGAGGGATGAGTTTATCAAATGATTGTGGTGTCGGGTGGAGGAGGGACAAAATGACACGCACGACCGCTGGGCTGTTGGGTCGCACCCAATGGGCTTGTGGGCCCATGCTTATCTGGGTCTAACCAAACCATCAATCAATTATTCTATAATCTATGGTTTCTGACCGCGGGTAAAAATAAAAGGAAATAATATAATAATAGCATAATAATCTGAAAAACCAACCAAATGAGAAATAGAGTAAAAAAGAAGAGGACAAGAGAGGAGTAGATGAAAGTGTGAGGACCACCACAGACGGAGGAGTGTGCACGTGTCTCCAGGCAGGACAAGTTGGTCCACGTGACTTCATTACGGGGGTTGCTTGTCTTTAACCCACTTTCCTAATTTCCTTTTCAAAATTCGTTTCTAATTTTTTTACTGTAACGGCATTTTTATTTGCTGTTTTCTTCTCTCGAATAACTGGTCAACGGGTAAGGTGCGTAACAGCGTGTCTGTCTTGGAGAGGGAAAGAGTATATGAAAGTCATGTCGTTAGAAGTATAGGTAGCAAATTATAATTATATAATTTATGATTTTAATTACGTTTCCCGGTCTTGGTAGGTCTAGGTGGCTAGGTATATAAGGTTGGGATTTGTCGTTATTCTACGATACGATTTTCTACGAGTTTATACGATTGACTCCTAGAAATTGCAGTTATACACATCAACGCGTTTTATCGTTACCGCGATTTGAACAGATCGGGCCGGCCCCCACGAGTTAACAACCATGGTTAGTAGGTTTAGTTATCCTCATTTTCCGCACTCATTCTCCCACGTGAAAACCACTCTCCCTTTGTCTTTGCGGGGAAAGCCCCTCCACCATGCAACCATCAATCTATCTACCTCTCAACCTCCATGCCCGGCCGGCCCTCCTCCCCTCACCTCCCACGTGCCTCTGGTTCCTCTCTTCTTCACTTCTTGTTTGTCCTGATTCGTCAAACTTCAGTTCGGATCCCCCATTTGGCAAAAATACAATTCAACACATAGCTACGGTTAGTTTTTAATTATTACCGCTTTACTTTCCTTCCTTTTGATGGGTTTGACGACCATCTAAAAAAAATAAATAAAGATGATTAATGTAACTCTTTGAGTCATAAATATATGGACGGTTAAAAACAAAATCCAATATAATTACTGTCATTAAATTTGCAAGTGTGTGGTTTTTTTTTTGTTTTTTTTGCATACAGGGAGGCTAGAGCCAAGAAAAAGAAAAGAGTTACAGGGAAGACGTAGAGGGATTCTGGGGGTTCACAATCCACCTTGGAAAAGAGGTGCCAAGCAGGTCATTCCGGAGGATCCGAACTAAGCCTTGCGGAGGGTTAACAAGCTCATACACCTCGTAGGGATAGACGAGACTGTGCTTCGAGAGCCAGTCCGCGACTCTATTCCCTTCGCGGTATGTGTGAGTGATGCTAACCAACCAATCGTTGCTCAGCTTCCTGCGAACCGAAGAGAGAAGTGTAGCATACGGGTGTAGCGGGTCATGTCTGTTCCTGATAAGTGTGTGGTTACGTAAGTCATAATAATAAGCTATATATTAGGTTTCAACCGTATTAATTTATGTGTTTGATTTGGGGTGTCCGGTCCCTCGTGTGCGCCAGTGCGCGTCATTAATTAGTAAACAATAAATTGTAGTTAATTATCAAGTGCTGTTACGGGAATTAAGAGAGACCTTTTTAGTTTTTACCCTTGTTCAACTGGGCGAGAGAAAATTAGAAGCTAGAAAACAAGTCAATACAATTATAACCATGATTTTATTGATTTGTGAAGGAAGGAATCATTGAATTTCCTGTTTAACCGATACTTGAAGGTGAAATTAAGGATGTCCATTGTCCAGTCCATATATGTTGCAGCCTGAATTGATAACATAAGTTTGTTTCTATTGTTAGGTTAAAAATATTCTAAGATAGAGATCTGTAACATCCCGAATCTTTTTCCGACGAAGATATTGTGCGCTTTGGGTCTCGACCCTCATGGTTTTCGACTTGGGGTGCAATTCAAGGTGCCTTCCATAAGGTCACCCATCCTTCTGTGCACTCCACACTGAGCACGTATAACTTTGAGAACTCCTCTGTTTCACCCCAAAACGCGTCTTGTCAGTTAAGGCCGATTTCCTACTTATAATCCATGTATCCCTCCCGTACTTTATTGATATGAGATCTGTGTAAGGTGTTACCAGATCTTTATATTGATAATGAGTGATAATACCACCAGTAAAGGAATGGTTTGTTATAAGTCCTAAACACATCCATCTCCACGTTTGTTTGTTTTTTTTTTACGGTAGGAGATGACTTTTTTTTTTACCTAGTTAGTATCCATTTTACCAGCCATGCACATAAACAGTAGTATTATTATTACTACAGTTTGGCGTGTTCATGTAAACTTTGACCGTAGTAAAGGCCCCCCAGAAAATAACAAATCAGAAGAGGAAATTCCGATTGGGTAGCTTATGAGGAAGAAGAGGGAAGATGTCCAAAAGAAGGGCTCAAGTAATGAATGATGGTAATAAGTAATTAATAATGGAGGAATGGAGGGGTCATATTCCTTCCGTTTTGACAAACACTGGGGCGGCATGCAGCACTGCCAGGTCATCATTTTTATGTGAGAGAAAAAAAAAAAAACAAACTAGTTCTACTAGACTGGACTAGACTAGGCTACTACTAACCTATGAGTCATGGGAGATGACTATTTCTCTCCTGTTTCCTATCCTAGCCAAAAATAATTAATGTCAAATGGCACTTACATTATTTTTTTTCTCTATTTGTTTATTCAATCTCAAATTTCAGCGTGGAGCTCTCAAATTGGAAGCTTGTGTGGTGGTTATTTTTAGATTTCAAAAGAGGCGGTTTTGGGTCATGTAAGCTATGGTTGGAGTACATATTACAAATGCGATAGAAAAATGTATATAAGTTCCACCAAGTAGTTTTCGCTTGTTTTTTTTTTGTCTTCTGAGGGGTGATTTGATTTTCAACATTGTACTAAATCAAATCAAACGTCGATCGCAAGAGCTCATGTTCTAGGACTTTAGCCGCCGGTACAAATGAACCGAGGCGAACGACGTGTCAGTTTTCACATCAGACAAGCGTTATTTACCCATCGATTGAGCTTGTTACAATATTTTTGCATGTCTCCAAGAGTTCACGTGAGTAAATTCATCATTTCGTTTCAAACATGAAATAAGGAAAAGAAATTATATTATGCTCTCGAGGTATAGCAAAGGTTGTAATCGAGATGTCGAAATGAAAGTTGCGCATCTTGAACATATAAACCACCAATACAAACGAAATACCACTCTCTTTTATTCGTGTACAACGATTTTCAATATATAAACCCATATATTTCACATATGCATAAACTAAATCTTATTGTATACGAAACAGTATGATTTCAAGTCGTGTAAGTTGAACCGATCTCATAGTCTCACATTAATAAAAAGAAAGAAGGAAAAAAAAACACCCCTCCTTTTTATTTTATTTCATGCCTAGGAGAGATAAAATCCAAGGAAAGAAAAGGGAGCAGAGCAGGCATGAGTAATGATGATGATGATTCAAGATAATTGGCCTCCTCTCCTCACCAACATTTGTCATCATCATTGGACTTTCCCCTCTCCAGTCCCCACCCCCACGCCCCCCTCCTTCTCCCTTTCTCTCTCCTCCTTCTCCTTCTGCTTCTTTCTATATAATCCCATTTTCCCCCATTATCTCCCAAACAAATCACCCCCACTCCCCTCTCTCCCAATTCCCCAATACAACACAACAAAACGCTCCCTGCAAAAAAAAATTTTCCTCAGATCCCAGTTACTACCAGGCAGCAGCGCCACCACAACCAGACACCATGATGCTAGACAAGGAAGATTTGGGGCTCAGCTTGAGCTTGAGCTTCCCTTCTCCTCCTCATCATCTTCATCAAAATCAAAATCACCACCACAACCACCATACTCCTCTTCACCTCAACCTCATGCCATCTTCCTCCTCCTCCTCCTCCGCCGCCTTCCTCCTTCCCCACTCCGCCCCTGCCGCCGCCGCTAATCACCCCAAATCCTCCTCCTGGATCAACCACGCTGCTCTCATCTTGAATCCAGCTTCCTCCGGTAATGGATCGATCTCTCACTCTCTTCCTCTTTCTCCTGCTTTACTTCTTTCCATGATTTTGAAAGTGCCGTTTTGGAGAAAAAAGGAATCAATAAATTAAGCTCGCTTTTTCTCTTTTTGAGCAGGGGAAAGAAAAAAAAATTGGAATCTATAGCTTTTCTTTGTGTTCAATCGGCTTTTTCAATTTTTCCTCTCCTCTAGATCCGCGACTCATGTGTTCGATTTTTTCCGTGCATGCAGATCCGAATACGGACCCGAACCGGGGCGAGACGACGAGATCGTTCCTCCGGGGGATCGACGTGAACCGGCTACCGGCCGCCGCGGCGGCCGATTGCGAGGAGGAAGTGGGGGTTTCTTCTCCCAACAGTACCGTTTCGAGTATCAGCGGGAAGAGGAGCGAGAGGGATCAGCCGGCTACTACCGGATCCGCCGGAGAGGATCTCGACGCCGCCGGCTCCCGCGGCGGGATCAGCGACGAGGAAGACGGCGACACTTCCCGGAAGAAGCTCCGGCTGTCCAAAGACCAGTCCGCCGTTCTCGAAGAGAGCTTCAAGGAGCACAACACTCTCAATCCCGTAAGTACAACTGGAAATCAATCCTCTCCCCTTCTTTTTTTGTCCGTTTGGTAGCTGAGAAAGAAAGAAAAAAACGGATTGGGATTCGCGGAGGACGTTATTTTGACCTCTAGCGGGGAGGATTCATAGCTTTTTGACTCTTTTCTCAGCAACCAAACAGAATCCCCGCGAGAAAAATTAAGAAAAAAGCTTTACTTTTCGCGTGGGAGGGGTATTTTCGGGAAGACAGAAAACTTAGATATTTTTTTCTTTTCTTTTCTTTTCCAGAAGCAAAAGACGGCATTGGCTAAGCAGTTGGGCCTGCGGCCCAGGCAAGTGGAGGTGTGGTTCCAGAACAGACGGGCCCGGACCAAGCTGAAGCAAACGGAGGTGGACTGCGAGTTCTTGAAGCGATGCTGCGAGAATCTAACGGAGGAGAACCGGCGGTTGCAAAAAGAGGTGCAGGAACTGAGAGCACTGAAACTTTCCCCACAGTTCTACATGCAGATGACCCCACCAACCACGCTGACCATGTGCCCGTCGTGTGAGCGTGTCGCGGTCCCTCCCTCGTCCACGTCATCCGTCCCCACAGCCACGTCATCTCCACCTGTCGTGGCGGCGGCTTCCACCGCCGGAGCATCGCCGTTGGCGTTGATGGGCTCGGCGGCAGCGGCCCATCACCACCGGTCTATGGCTGCAATCAACCCATGGGCTGCTGGTGGGCCGTTCAACGTGCTCCGTCCCCGGTCGTAGTATATTCCGGGGCGAGGTAGGGGTATTTTGGGAATTTGCTTCTGAGAGTTTAGGTTTATGGGTTGGCTTTGTTGGGGGAATGAGATGAGATTTGGTGGGTCTTTGCTGTTTTGTATTATTGATCTACACAAGGAAGGGTCTCGTATCTCTTTTTGGAAAGGTGGTTGACATAGTTCTTTTGATAGTTTTGTTTTTGTTTAATTTAATATGGTTTAGTGGCCTAATTAAGTGCTAATGTTACTTGTTAATCTCTCTCCCTCTCTCTCTACTTGAGGGGAATGTGTAAAGGGAAAGGGAAATTTGAGGGAGGAAGGGATAAAAAGGAAGGGTGGATGTGGTGTAAAGTGAAAAAGGGGATTTTTTTCACCAAGGAAAGAAAAGTGAAAGAGATCTCTAATTTAAATTTTAGTAAATGAAGCTTCAGTTAAAGCAAAAAGCTTATGGTCTTAAATCTTAATCATAAAGTCCAATTTTTCACTGCTTCTCCCATGTGTTGTGGTTAAGCAGTTAAGCTTTTTTTTAACCTTTTTCGGCATCCACTATGAATATTCCAAGATGGTACCTAAATCAATGGGTTATGCATAAAAACCAATCCATTAGGTACGAAAATCAAAACCAAATAGTTAAGAAATTTATCAGTTATTAGTTATCCAAAAATCAACAAGATCTTTTGACAATTTTGATTTGGTTTGTGAAGCCAAAAAATTTGAGTAAGATAAGACAACAGGAACGATGAATATAAAAAATAGACTCGACTACACAAAGTTGGTGACAACTATTGTTCTGTTCATGGGTATTAACTTAGTGTCGTATCATTTCTTTTACTGTTTCTTCGTTTAACTAAAATCCAAACCATAAAAAATATTAAACGATGTAAACCAAAATCATTAAACCTCCTATCTGTTTCGTTTCAATAAAAACGAAAAACGAAAATCAATATGATAGCAATATAATGTTACCATTCAATTTGTATGCCTATCAACTAGATGAGCCCCTTGACCAAATAAACGAGACCACAAAGTCACCAACAGTAATATGTCTACATGACTAGATTCCAACTACTATCATTTTGTCGATGATGAAGTTCAAGCCTTGCCGGCTTCAAAGGGAGAAGATCAAAGTGCTCCAATGACGATGGTTTCTACTTTTTTGACGCCCACAAGCTACCTCATATATCATGTATTCATAGTGGGAACTCCAAGATATGGAAAGAAGCTTGGAGGTTAGAAACAAAACACACTAATTCCTTAATCTCCACATCCTTAAAAGCTCGTGCGATCGCTCTAATTGGAGTTATGAAATGCGTACTCAAATCAATTCGATTAATTATGTATATGGATATTTTATTTTGGCTGGTACAATAGGTGATAGAATTGTGAATCTATGAATTATAAAGTATAAACTAGTTGACGAATTTGAAAATTTTCTTCGATGGATTCAGGCCCGCAATTCAACAAGATAATTAAACACAGTGTCTAACAAGACGCTAATCTCCGGTCAGCTATAGTTCCTGCATCATCGATGAACACCTCACATAATTTGGGGTTTGAAGCAATGAATGATATCATTCTATGGGAATTGTTAATATTTTTGGAACCTACCTTATTGGCAAAAGTGTGTATGTTGACTGTTGAACAGTTTCCTTAATTTAGGCAGTGATTAATTGGTGGTGTTTCCTTAACAGTTGCTTATAATTTGGACACTAACTTTGGAGCGTTTTTGTGGACAAAATTAAATTCTAATATGTTGTTAAGCAACACATGGTTGGTCTTCTTGTTGTTGTCGTGTTCACTAATCTTTCGTTTCAGGTCGGAAATTCAATGTTGTCTTCATTTGCCGACCGACCATGTTCATGCAGGATAAGGAGTCGGCTTATTATCAGGCTGACGTAGATTGTTAGGTGCGGTCAATAGATAGTAATGCATTAATTTATGAGCTTTTTTATGGCAAATTAATTTGGGAAGTTCAACGTCAAATATGAATGGAAAAACTAACTTGCGTTCTAAGTTATAAATATGGGATGTTTAAGCCTGTTTGTGAAGGTTGCATCTGGCCCAAAGCTCAAGTGTGTAAGCCCGGCCATTCATGGGCTGCCTCTGGGCCTATGTCCGCTCCACTAGCCAGGCCGTCCAAAGGGTCTGCATTCTGCGTGGGTGTATTCTACTCTCCTCCTTCAATATGTTCCGCTTCGGTTCATCGGTCGCAATTGTAACAGAGTGGCTCATTACGTAGCCCGAAAGCCTATGTTTTTATCACCTGCTTGTCTATGGGGGTATTGATTGAGTTTCTTGGCTTCGTATTCGTTAAGGAACTATTTTCGGTCTCTTCGTATCTGTATTACTGACTTTTACCTCGCGTGTTGAGGAATCTATTGAAAAAAAATTATCGAACCTACGATGCAAAAGCAAACAAGTTTTTTTTTGGCATAGATAGTGGTAACAAATAGATAGAGAATAACAATTAATCAAATGTGACAGTCAACTAATTAATGTGCTGATGAAAGAGTCATTTTAGCCACTAAATGGGCAGTTATATTAGTTCTCAGGAATAAAGTGAAAATAAACACTAAAAAGGATGAAAACGCCAGCCAAATGGACTGTTAACTCCCAAGGCTCTTTCTAGAAAGTCACCGTGAGCGGCCAAGGAAAGGCCTGGAGAATTCAATAGTTGAAGAAGCATCCCTGCAAACCAAAACATAAAAACTCGGACTATGACCATAAAATGCAATAAATCGTTTAACGGATACAAAGGATCATCAGTGGGGAACGGCTACGGTGCTAATTGTACAATAGTTAGCACCGTCCTAACCAAGGGAAAAACTACTACTAGTTTGAATTAGTAGTGATTTAGCTTAGATGTTGTATTGATTTTATAATAATCCGTAGTGATTTTTGTTAGTTATCACGGTCCTAACCCCACCTAATCCCATCCATCATCAGTGGCACCTGCAAAACAAGAAAATAAATAGACAATCCATAGAATAATGTTCATGTGGCAGCCGTTTGAACATCCTCACAGCCGAGAAGTCGAGCTGAAGGAGATCTCAGGTGAGCGGCACAATCGACGTAGAGGCCCTTATCGCTACGGAGCGGCATTCACAAATCACAACCCACTCATAATGGTCGTGTTTTTGGTGTATTTGAGGAAAATAAAAAATTGGATCGGGAAATGTAGGAATTAAGATGAATTTTGCTGGTGGAATTGAAAAAGATGGGGTAAGTAGGGGTGTTCAAATGGTTAACATGATAATTACCAAATCAAACAAGTAAAAATTATATTAACCATAGAATAATATCATAATCAACCTGTTCAAACTAATACAACATCCAAATTAACCAAACTAAAGTTAAAGCAGTTTGGTTAATTGATTAACTAGATTAACCAAAATAACATCACATTACCATTGAGTGAGAAAATTTTCGGTTAATGCATCAATTCACAATTTATATGATGAATAAAATATTACAATGAACACATAGTTATAGTAATCAGCTATAGAAATACATGTAACTAATACAATTATCTTATAGTCAATATAAGTATTTATCTAACAAAAATATATGTCAATAGTATATGGAGTTAATTAATTGTTGTGATTGTGTGAATTGAATTAGTCTCTTGGCAATTATCATAGGTTGAAAAAGACATTCCTTTCATGTTTTCATCTAATATATTGTATGAGTTTTATATAAACTGGGTGTTCATATATCATGGTCTACACTCTACAAATACAAATATACAGTATATGAACAATATTGAGCTTTATTATTGATGGGACTAAATGTAGGAATGTTTGGCTCTTGAGTGGTTATATACAACATTAAGTATGTGTATATAATATATAATTAGATATATGATTAATTACTTAACTGGTTAATTTGATTTGATTAGTTAGCAGTGTCTGAAATCAAACCAAACCACTTAAACCAAACAAGCTAAATTTTTAAACCAAACCAAACCAATTATCAAAGTTAACCAAACCAAATTAACCAAAGACTACTGATTAAAACGGTTATCACGATAACCACATCGTTTAAACACCCCTAGCCCCTACCCCTAGGGGTAAAAACGAGTTTCAGGTACCTTGTAGGCCCACAAGCCAAGTCCAAGGACTTGGCAGTCCAAGAAGGGATTGTTCGATCTCACAGTAGCCCAAGACCCAAGTAAAAGAAGTCGCATCCATTCTTTCGGAAGGCTTTTCTTACGAGCATTTCGCGCAAACCAATCTGTCAATGAGTTGAATTGTCGTGGCACAAATACAACAGAGATCCAAGGAGCAGCATGGAGAATGGGAACAATACGCGCTAAAAGTGGCGACATTTTTTATATAAGGATGATATAAATTACTTTTTGTTATTAGGTGCTATTAAAGAGATTTGAACTTGGGACCTCCAGGATCAAAACAAGTGATATTGCAACTAGATCAATCTCTTGTTGGTCCAAAATTGTCCAAAATTGTCAAGGCTAGAAGAACAGTGGTATTAAAAAAAAAAAAAAAACAGTGATTCCTAGAACAGTCTCCTTAGCCGCCAGAGAAGCTGCACTAAGAATAGCATATGCTTTCGCCTATGTCGTATAGTAACAAAATAATCTCTCTATCTTGCAACAATACAACTGACTGATGCATTTTTTTTAACCTCTAAACAACGATTTAAATGGCACAACCACTAATTGTCCTAAACTATAGAGTACATATACCCACACACTATTGTAAACTCTTTGCACTCACCGGTGCTATATCTCCTTACATTTGTTACATTTATGAAGTCAAGAGAAACAAGTATAGTCGCTCTCCTAACAATTCCGAACCGAACTAGGTATGGTTACACAAAATCTATTGACTTGTCGAGTCCAATGAACGAGAGTTAAGCATATAATTATGCATTCCACAATACATTCCAGTTTCACTAGACATATTGAGTAATTGATATCTTCAATAGCCAACATTATTTTGACGGATGAAATATAATTTGCTAATTCTGATTATGCCGATCATTTCATGTCGTTGGTTCTTATCAACTCCATTACTGAAGAAGGCAAAATTTAAAATATTTTATTACGAAATCTTATACGTCACATACTCTCGTTCAAACACCATATAAAAAAACCTATGCATTCAAATCAACAAAATTCCATTGTTATTAGGGAAGCTTCTCATTGAATACCTAGAAGACTAAAAGAGGAAAAATGGAAGGCTGGAGAAAGTAAAGTAGTCTTTCTCCAATTCAGAGCCTTTGATTTCCCATATCACAAGGGTTTAACCTCCCATTGTGTATTTGAGTATACGTACATACATACACATGCAAGCTTAAACAGAAACTTGGTATGTTACATTAATCATCATCCATATAAATCAAAACAAAGAGAGAGTCAATTCCCAATTTTCCCGCCACTGGGACGTTTTTTTAATTATATATCTATATATATCTATGGATCACCTGAAAGAACGAATTTTCCTGACCTGAGAAGCGGCGCTGCATCTCTTGATCGACTCTATTCTCTGAAGCCGAATCTGCTCCCTGAATTTCGCTATGAACTCGTCCGCTTTCTTGTCCACGTCCGGCGGCCCTCCACCACCACCACCACCACCTCCCCCGTCGTCGTTGCCGCTCTCACCACCACCGCCGCCACCATCAGCAGCCAGCGAAGCCACCTTGTCATTTTCCTCTTCCTCGTACTCAGTCTCCGACGAATCCTCGTCCTCCATCACCAGCTTCTCCACCCTTTCATTCTCCGAAGCCGCCGGAAACTCCAAGAAATTCGGCTGGTCAATGATATTGCTCGCCGCTGCGTGCAGTTCTTCGTTTCTGATTGTCTTCATTTCGTTTGTGAAGCTTCGATTCAGTTGCTTGACAGGAGAATCCCGGCCGTAATCAGCGGTGGCGGAGGCCGGTCTCGTCGAGGTTGATTTCGTCACCGCGGACGGCCGCGGTGGTGGTGGAGGCGGTGGAGGAGGAGAGCGGTAGACGGTTCTCTTCCTGACGAAATCCTCCGCACTCTTGGCTTGTACCTCGGAGAAAATCGGAGAATCAGATCCCGCGGCAGGAGAATTGGACCGCTTCGTCGATCTGGAGACCGTCGCTGGCGGAGCTGGTGGAGGAGGCGGCGGCGGGGGTGGAGGAGTAGAAGCAACTGCAACCGTCAGATCCGGGGAGGATTTTTTGAATTCGAATTTTCCTGATCTGGATCTCCATGGAATTGGAGAAGGAAGCACGACGCTAGCCTTCGATTCGTCTCCGAAATCCACTTCGCTTCGATCAACGACCTTATTAGCTCCCGAAAACCTCTTCGAATTCCCCGCGGGAGAAGACCTAGCCACAGAACCGCCGTCCGATTCCGCCGATTTCAAGCTCCTAATCGGCAGGAGCAGCGGCTTCTCGCCCCGAATCAACTTGCTCCGTTCTTCTCCTTCTCCCTCGTCGTCATCGGCGACGACGACAACAGGCTCGTTCCGCAAGTACCGGCTGCTCCACGTCTGCACTCTGGTGGCCGTCTCCGCACCGTCGCCGCCGCCGATCACGTCGTCGTCGAAGACCGACGATACAGGGAGGAACCTGGAGACGTAGGATTGCGCAACGTCAAACTTGTTGTTATTAGAGGTGGCGGTTTCTTTCCGATCGGCGTTGCAATAGGCGGCGTCGTCGTCGTTGCGTCGGCGGCTGAAAAGGCCGTAGGAGACGGCGATGCCGACGAAGACGAGGTGGAGGAATTCCCAGCCGCGAGTGTCGAGGGTGTGGGTGAGGAATTCCGGGGCCTGGGAAGGGAGGAGAGGCAGTATGAACATGAAGATTGAGACGATCAGCGCCTTGTAAAAGAAGTGTGAGTAGACTCTGTTTTGATTCTGCTGCTTCACGGCAGCGTTGTTGTAGTAATAGTTTGTGTAGTAATCCGCCATTGGAGAAGCCAGTAGAGAGCTAAGATTTAAGGTTTTTCTTGGAGCTCAAAACTGTGAAGTCCTTTGATTTGGTATATGGAGAAGGAACGCGAAGAAGGAGGAGGAGGGGAAGGAAGGAGAGACTTAAGAATTAAGGAAAAGTAGAGAGTAGTATAGAACAAAGTAGAAACAGAAAAGGGAAAGCAGAGCATAGGAGGGAATGGTATTTCATTTCAAAGGTCAGCATTGGAATGGGGTTAATTTTTCACCTCTTTTTCTTTGTAGACTCTCCCACTAACCCTTAATTCTTTAATTACATCCAAAAATCATCCGGAATACATGATTTATATATGTCCTAGACATCACTAAAATTGGATATATTAGATTCAGAAACTAGATTTCTACGTTAATATTAACGAGTAGTTTTATAGATAATAAAATAAACCTGATATTTATGTTGTATGAAATGAAAGAAGGTGTGGCAATAACAATATGGTGCTTAAGGGTTCTGGACTGGTGGGATGAGGTTAGAGGAGAATCTTCTTTTGGACTGCGTACGCTAACCTTTCCTTCAGATTCTGCCTTCTAGTTAATCCCTCCCGCGTTAATTCTAATGTTGCTAGTTGTTCTGCTGACTTGGCCCTGCTTCCCTAAATGGTAGGTAATTAGTACGTAATGATGCTCCTGCTAAGTGGAATCTAACGCAATGCCATTGCCATGCTAAGCTGGCAAGCCACCCTTTTGATAGATTCTTTCTCCCATTAACGCTCCATTGGAATGTAGCATATATGTGATTTTTAGTTAGTTGAGGGATTTGTTCATTTCTTTAATCATCTAAACAGTCGTCTAAATATCCCTTATCCCCATGCAAATCAATCGTATTTTCTGCTTAGATAGGAAACCCGAAATCCATTAGTCCAACTAATAAGAAAGAAATAATGAAAAGAAGAGAAGACTATAGACAAAGCAAAGAACTAAGAGGAAAATTAATCAAATAATTGAAGCTGGATGTATTCTATTTGCAAAAATTATACATGGACCTAAACCAGTTTAATAAGAATTAATCCTACTTCCGTGGACAACAACAGCCTTTTCCTCATATTTATTATTTTCAACGAGTTTCATGTTGTGGAAATATATAATTATAATTTGAAAGAGTTTTCGACCCTAATGATCATGTATGAACGTATTTTGAATTGCAATATGAACAATAAATTCGTTTAAATAATAGGCACATTCAACGAAAAAAAATCATGTTATCATATGTAAAGACAAGTTCTAATCGGAATCCGAAAAGGGAGAAAATAATAAGTGGCAACTATTTCAAAGCTTTACCAAGGTTTGTCCTCCTCCACTTTTTGACTTTTTATTTGTTTGATAAATTAGCGATTGGAATTTGTCTCATGAGCTTAAAATATGTGTAGCCCTAATTAACTAGGGTTTTCTTTTCTTAGTGGGGGAACAGATGGATCCTATGCAATCTTGACTCACACCAGCATCAATCTATATTTCAGATGTGCACATGAGCATATATGATCTGAGGCTGCCATGTGAGGAGCTCATAAACACAAAGCAGATAAGATGGGCTGAGATTGATAACCTTTTTATTAGCTGAAGTAATTAGGTCGATAAGGTATCTCTCTTTTGCTCTTTTGCACTTTCTCTTTCCAAATGGCCCATTCTCCCTTTCAGGGGCCGTAAGTTGAAGCCTTCCTTCCATGGTAACCTGGAAATGGATCACATTCCAGCTTTTCGTAGCTCTCTGCTCTCGAGTTCTTAGGTAGCAGCCAAGGCCACATAAGATAAGAGGATTCAACCAGTTCAAAATGGTACTACTTGTTCAGTTTCGAATCATGAGGCTGCACCAACTAGTAAAGAAACCTATCGAATCAATCGCGAGAGTGCCAGAACAGAAAGCTTTCGGAGTTAAATTGGAGAGAATGTGCAGAGTAGAAGACCACAAGAGAAATGTAAGTAAAAGGCCAAAACTTTAGTGCCGAGTAGGTTCGTAACTTCTGGTATTGCATTCCAGAAATCAAAATCCTTTCATGATAGGAAGAAAGTAGTAAAACCACTAGAATCCGTAAACTAATACAGCTGAGTAGAAAAATGAAAACAATGATTAAACTCTGCTGCAGCAGTACCCTTAGGGTTCATCGTCGATCAGAGAGCGCAACTGCTGTCGGAATGTGGGGATTTTGTCTGCTTCGACTGCCATAACCAACCCCGTTGATACGTAGTTCTTCAGCTGAAACAAGTAGATTCACATTGTAAGGCATCATGGAAGGTCTTCAAAGATCCGAAAACAGGAAGCTGAGTGCAATTAATGAGAACAGGAAAAAGCATAAGTCACACTGTCACGGGCGCTTTTGTGTTTGCCCTAAGGGTCCCAAATAGGAATATAAGGGTGAAGAATGAGAAGCTAGGCAGAGTTCTAGGGCAAAGAATATTATTGAAGATAAGGAGATAAATACTTGCCTCACTGGAGGTCACATGCTGGATTTTGAGAGGGAAACTGAACGACCATGAAGACAGCTGAAAGGAAAACAATGGATTGAAATCAATCAATATCATAAGTTTAAGTAGAAGATTGTAAAACAAACCATGAAATTGCACATCAAAGAGGTACAAACCTCATGAAAAAGCTCGTCCTCGGCCTTCACATATATTACCGGCTCTTCTTCATTATCAGGTTTTTTACCTAGTTTACCATTTGCTTTCTTATGCTGCAAGTCACGTCCAGATATAAGAAAAGATACAGACCTCTTGTATAGGAAGCAAGATGAACTGACAAGGAGTTACCTTATAAATTTTAGTAACAATCAAATAGGTCTTGAAGCGGAACGAGTTCCGAAGCTCCTCTGTTGGCTGAAAGAATAAAGTATAGATTTTATTAGAGCATTATACAAAAAATTTGCATGGTGAATCTTATATTCTCATCTACCTCGTCTTCTACAGCCCATGACACTTCATCAAAGAGCGCATCATAAAGAGGTGGCAAAAGCTGGGGAGGAAGATTAACCACTCGTTGTGACACCAAGAGACCAACATCCCGTGCTCTCTTGCTGAATAGTAATCTCAACTGCTCCACAAGGTTACTCTCGTGGCATACACTGAGAATATACTCCTCTAGCTCCTTCATACATTTATGGTCCTGCCATAACCAAGATCCCTTATAAGAGCAAGAAAGTACCGCAAAGAATCCCCTTTTCAAATAATACCATTGAATTTACTACATCATCCCTATTCAAAGAATCTGCATTCTCGATGTAACCAACATTACGAGAGACCTTGATAGGGGTTAAAGAGTTAATCAGATGACTAAGAATCTTAACTACTATCACAATTCACCACAGTAAGAACGACAGAAGAATCTCTTGATGTGTAGGGGAACCAATTCGAGAGCTAGCTGCATATAGATACCACTTACCTTGTATCTACCCAAGTTTAAGGCTGTCACTACTGAGAAAAGCCCATCATCGTCCTCATCCTCCAGTTTCACCACCGTCCCAACTGTGGTCTGTTCAAGTATTAAATCTACAAAACCACTCAAATTCCACTCCTCGTTATCAAGAAAAGTTTGAACTAAGGTCTTCACTCCATGAAAGTCGTCCGGTTTTGGATCAAAGAAGGCGAAATCCGCTTGCACAACCCCCTTCAAAAATTTAATCAAAACTCATTATATAACATAATACCAACTGAGCAAGGAGCAAAGCAATCACAATTTCCAGCATTCGCATTTTCCTTACTTCAGAACTTTCTTCATCGGAATCGCTGTCTGTCTCATCGATGTTTCTCTGACCGCAACACTTGCCATCTGAGAAACAAGAACAACAAGCGCTGCAGCAGATAAGAACCATAACTACATGGGGAATGAAAAGTTTTTATTTTTATTTTTTATGAATTAGGGAATGAAAAGTTTAACAAGGTAAATATGAGATTTTGTACTTGGAGTATGTTGACACGATTCATGGAGTTTGTTCTCGATCATTTGACGCTTAATCATGTAAGCTGACGCAAGGTGAGCAGCTGAGCGCGCAAATGGGGAGAATGTCACTGGCCTAGCTACCAATTTCCGACGAGGCCTCTTCACGTTTGGTGTCATTGCTACTCAATCCCACTGAAAATTTTAAACACACCCGTCGAGAATCACTACACCTAAATGTGTTGTTTTATAACAAAGTTTGCAACTCGGAAGTCAACAATGAAAGGAGAGAATAAACCATCGAATGTCAATCAAAAAGCAATTTTGCAGGACATTGGCAGAACAAACTCATGAGAACGGGGCTTCAAGTACAATTATGAAGATGTTGAGCGCTTACCCAAGATACTAGTCACTTCTCAGGACGCAGTCACGGAGTCGCCGTCAGTCTGTCCGCCGCCTCGGTCGTTGCCCTTTCTGATCAACGGCGGAAGCGAGGAAGGGTGAGAAACAGTTCGAAAATTATCGTGGGAGAAAGCTGAAAAGACAAGAGCAGTAAAGCTTACCGGAAACTCAAGCTGTCCTCCTCCTGCCGCTGTCCGTTCGCCGGTTACTGCTAGTTGCTACAGAGCGCCGGCGGGAACAAGATCAAGGAAAGGAAGAAGGGTTTTGCGACAACGAGGTGTCGTTACTCGTTCCAAAGGAGAAGCAGCACACCAAAAAATTTGTTGTTGGACAGTCGAAAATGGGCCGAGCGTAATAAAGAGATGGGCCGATTCCATTAGAAAGCCCAAGTAAATCCCACTTGAAGAGTTGGCGGGCCCGATTGAATTGTGAGCCACTAAGCCGCCAGTCACGTCACGTGAGGAAGCAGAAAGACGGGGGTATGAATTAGGGCCACGTGTCGAGAAGTAAAGGCGTCGATCGTGATCGTTCCAACACCTACACGTCATTCTAGCTTTTCCCGTCCTTTCACCTTCCGTTCTTCTCCCACCTACAGGTTTCCGTCGAAACTTGCGAACCAAAAAAAAAAAAAAAAAGGCGCAAAAATAGCAGAAGAGCCCAGAAGAAGAAGAAGAAGAAGGAGTAGAATCCAGGCAATCCGCCAGTAGCGCAAATCAGCAACATCCGGCAAGTAGGAAAGATCCTTTCCCCCGGCATAATTTTCCTCCACTCTCCGCCATCGTAGACGCCGTGGTTCTGCCACTCTCCGACGATCGCCCTCTTTGGCTCCGTCGTATCATGGTCACTGTGGTTCCTACGGGGAATCGGGATTCAGACTGTAGTGCAAGATATCCTACGGAGTTCGTTCTTCTTTCTAGTTGTCGATCGCTGTGAATAGTTTGTAAAGAGGTGGTTGTGTATCTGTATATGTAGTTGGTTTGATTGGTTACGATTAGGGTTTTCTGTTGCTGGAATTTGGGCAAGAAGTGGTAATTTGATTGTGTTAATATGATAATTGAGGAAGTGAAGGGAAGCGAGTTAGGTGTAGTTGATAGAATTTCGGAGAAGGATCGAATTGGTGGTGGAGGCGGCTTGGTCGTGTGGGACTCGAAGCGGGTCTTGATTGGAGCGGGCGCCAGGGCTTTGTTTTATCCGACTTTGCTTTACAACGTCGTTAGGAACAAGTTTCAGGCTGAGTTCCGGTGGTGGGATCAGGTGGACGAGGTATGATCTGTGGCTCGTGATTGTATCTAACTATTGATTGAAATCTGAACTATTTCGGCATTGGGTTAGTGGAAGTGAATTTTATTTGTAGCATTCTTGAGATCATTTTCCAAGTACTGTACAGATCACTAGCTTACTTTTGGAGTTTTTGTTTCGTGTGGATAGTCTTCTGATTGTGCACTATGATACTTACATTATGCATCAACGCCATTGGCAGGATACGGTAGTAAGATGATGCTTCTAGTTATGGTAGATTCTAGTGCAAACTGTCTTCCTTTCGTTAACTGAGATTGGGTTGGTTTGTGGCTTCGTGAAAGTTTATTGCTTACATTAATGCAGTCTCATGATGATTGTATTCTGGTTTCTGAAACAAACTCTGCAGTTTATTTTGTTAGGTGCTGTTCCATTTCCTACTGATGTTCCATGCCTCAAGGAGCTTGGTGTTCGGGGAGTAGTTACCATGAACGAGCCATATGAGACATTGGTTCCCACATCTCTGTATTACGTGAGTGCTTCCATCTTTATTTGTTTGGTTCTATGATCATCTCTATACATTTCCACAATGCTCCCATTTCCTATGTTTTGAGACAGTTTTATGTTGCTGGGCTTTAATTGTTGTATTACTCTGTTGGAATGGCTCTTTCCATCCAGATACACAGTATTAGGGAACTCAGAAGCACGTTATTATTTTCTGAATCCATGGAAATTCTTGCAGGAACATGGCATTGACCATCTAGTACTCCCTACTAGGGACTACTGCTTTGCACCTTCCTTGCGAGACATATCCCGGGCTGTAGAATTCATTCACGGTATCTATCTAGTTGTTTTGTTCTCGTGTTTACTATGTCATAAAATAAATGTACAGAGTTGAGAAATATTTGATTTAGATGCTTACGAATCATATTTTTCTCATCGTGTAGACAATGTGATGCGAGGGGAAACGACCTATGTCCATTGTAAAGCTGGTCGAGGACGCAGCACCACAGTTGTGTTATGCTACCTTGTTAGTACACTGAATGACTCAATTTGCTATTTTGGTTCACCGGAGTGGGTTAAAACAGACGCACAGTAAAAAGGAAGAGAGTTCATTTGCCTCTTCAGAAGTGTTGTGTAGCAAGGCACGAGAGAGATGAGAGAAACTAGAGATCTTGTTTTGGCATCTCTCTGAATTTCTTATTTAACTGCACGCAGGTACAGCACAAGCATATGACACCTGATGCTGCCTACAAATATGTAAAGTCAATCAGACCAAGGGTGCTTCTTGCTCCCGCCCAACGGCAGGTATTCATTTAGCATTTTACTCTCCTTTGGATGTGTTCGTTTTAGCTTTCAAGCCAACTTATTTTGTACATAGATAAGCCCATTATCCATGTCTGCACCATTTGATCTTGGAAACTTCTAATTTCAGGCTGTTCAAGAATTCTATCACCTTCACATGAATACCCACAGCCTCTACGGCAGTTTGAGAAGTCTCATATTAAAGGCCCCAAGGCAGAGTCTGGATCTCTTCCTCTCAAAGGATCTCGTGAAATTCGATGACAGCTCGGTAGTTCTTGTTACAGAATCAGATCTCGATGGATATGACCCAAGGCTTGTATCTACTCCAATGAAGAGCGAGGTATGGGCCGACTTGAGTGTGGTTTACGGGGTACGGGTTGCTGGGCAGGCAGTACTCGCAAGGATCTCCTGTATGTGGCTCCGTTGTGGAGCTCACCACCAGAAGTTTGTTGGCGAGGAGCAACTGAGCAGGAAGAGCAGCTGCTCGATCAGCAGGGATCAATTGGGAGGTATTAGTGTCGACATTCACGTCTATTAAGGCGCCGGTGGAGTTTGCATTTAAGGGTAGTCTGATAAGCTTTGCTTGTTATTTCTTGTGAATCCCGTGATGCCGTTTCTTGTCGTTGGTATATAAGTACGATGATGAATAACGTTTGCTTTGAACGAAGACTTGGGTTTTTCGCCACCAGCTGTAAATATTGAGTGGTCTGCCTGATGAATCCATTAAGTTCCGAGTATAGAACGGTTAGTGGGGTAATAGCGAAATCGTGTATTACTGTAATTATCCTGTGATAAAATCAAATAAGATTGCATGATCATCAGTTAAATCATAGATAACTGTAATAATCAAATGATAAGATTGTTTCGGATAATATAAAGAGTATCAGATTGCAAAATGGTGCATCAGTGTTATAAAATTGTATAAGATCGATAATAAGTTAAATCGGTATATTGCAGTAATAAACAAGCGGTATATTGCAGTAATAAACAAGCAATAAATTTGTGTCAGGTTGATACTCAACGAAATTGCTAACTAATAGCTAACTAATATTGATATTGTTGATACTTGACGTAACTAATTTTTTTACCATATTGTGTCCATGGTATTCACCAATAAAAAGCTGATTATTTTTTGTTTGTTTGTTAATAGTATTACTCACTCACTTACCCAACTCACCTACTATCCTAAATTCTCACGGAACAAAATATTGACTAAATACAAGTAAAACCTGCAAAAAAAAATTGATGGGCAAGGTACGGGTTTAGTTTTAGCCATGGTTCAAAAAGGCACACTTAACACTATGCTTAGGCACGTCTAGGCGCAAGGCAATGACAAAACGCATCTAGTTAGATACTGGAACACGTTAATGGAGTAAGGCGACATCTAAAACTCCCCTAAACATAACTAGATGGATCTAGAGGTCAATGGAAATCCTTCTGAGTATTTTCGGCCGACTAGAGGTCTCCGCCAAGGAGATCCTCTTTCTCCACTACTTTTTGCCATTTGCTCGGAAGGTTTTTCGGCCCTGATTAGCCAGGCGGTGTCTATGGGATTCTTGGAAGGAGTACGCGTTCGTCAATCATGCCCAATGGTTTCCCATCTTTTCTTTGCGGATGACTCCTTTTTATTCCTTGAAGCTTCCTCCGCCTCATGCACCAGATTGCTATCCCTACTACAAGTATATGAAGGGTTGAGTGGACAAAGGGTTAACCTAGCCAAGTCTGCAGTTCTTTTTAGCCGGAATACACTTCCAGATGCGGCATTGTCAATGGGTACCCAACTAGGTGTGGGTGCTATTGGAGAACAAGATGCGTATCTCGGTCTCCCTTCCTTACTACCCAGGTCTAAAAGGGATGCTTTTATGTCCATAGAGGAGAAGTTTCGCAAGAAGCTTGCTGGTTGGAAGCAGAGAGTGATTTCAAGAGCAGACAAAGATACTTTGATAAGAATCTCTGCAACTAACATACCTGTACACGGTATGTCTTGCTTTAAATTTCCTAAGGAAACCTGTAGACGATTAAATAGGGAGGTGGCAAGATTCTGGTGGGGCTCCTCTAGCAACTCTGACCACCCTATACATTGGGTTTCTTGGAAGGGAATTTCCCAAAGCAAGTTCCAAGGAGGATTGGGTTTCAGGGATTTTGAGGCGTTTAACCAGGCTCTCCTAGCAAAGCAATGTTGGCGCATTTGGGCAGATCCAGATTCTCTGCTTAGTCAAATCTATAAAGGTCGGTATTTTAACGTTAGTACCATCTTAGAGGCTCAGATAGGATCAAATCCCTCGTGGGGTTGGCGAAGCATACTTTACGGAAGGGATCTACTCCTCCAAGGAATGCGCTGGCAAGTTGGGAATGGTCATAATATTGATGCTTTTTATGACCGATGGATCCCATATGCTAAACCAGAGAGTCCGGTGATTAAGTTGGCCAATATTAACTCATCTCTAAGAGTCTCCTTTTTCATTGAGGAAAGTACAAGGGAATGGCACATTTCGAGGTTACAAGATTATTTTGATCCCTGCTCGGTGGATATAATTTGAAAAATGGCCCTTCCTCGGACATCGCAGCCAGATACTAGAGTATGGCATTTTACCAAAAATGGCAAGTACTCAGTCAAGACAAGGTATCATCTAGCTCTTGATGGCATTCTAGCTCCCAATAGAAAAGCCCTGGCTCTCATTATTGACCCTCCTTTGTGGAAACTGACATGGGGCATTCAGACCCCTCCTAAACTAAGGTTTTTCATTTGGCAGTGCCTAAGAGTAGTCCTACCAACGACAGTAGCGCTCCGTTCTCGTGGGATTAATTGTCTAAGGAGATGTCCTGTTTGCTGGAGGAGCCGAGAGAGTATAGAACATTTGTTTTTTCATTGCCCCCTTGCCAATATGTTATGGTACTTTGTGGGATTAAGTGACATACTGCTTTCGGCCCCAACGATGAATTTTAGTGTATGGTGGCGTCAAGTTATGCTTTCAGTGCAGTCCCAAACCCATATTCTCCAGATCGTGTGTCTCTTGTGAAGAATATGGAAATCAAGAAATAAAGTGGTATTTGAAAATACCCAGCCTCATGACCATTCGCTTGCCCGCCAATTCTCCTTTCAAGTCCGTGAAGTGCTCTCTTCCTGTCGTCCTGCTCAGCCTCGTGTGGCTGCCTCTCCAAGCCAGCCCTGGGAATGCCCTCCCGAAGATGTTCTGAAGATCAACTTTGATGCTGCTGTCCATGCCTCTGGTTGCTCGTCTGGTCTTGTGGTTCGTGGCTCGGACGGTCATGTTCTGCTTGCCTCAGGTTTCCAGCATCCAGGGATTTCAGACCCGTACCTTGCAGAGCTCCTTGCAGCAAGGGATGCGATCTCTCTTGCAGCTTCTAGAAATCTGCCTCGTGTCATCATTGAGGGAGATGCGGTTGTGGTCATCCGTCAGCTTAGCCTTGGTGCAGTGGAGGATTCCGTGGGTGGCCCCATTCTTGGAGATTGTAGGAGTATCCTTGGATCTTTGTCTCTTTGTATAGAATTTAGGGCGGTTCCGCGGACTGCCAACTGGGCTGCCCATAGAGTGGCGCGTAAAGCCCTGTTGCTGTCTCGGCTAGAGTTAGCTTCCTTTGACTTTGTAGGTTGGTTTGTTAGCGGGGTGGGGAGGGTGTTTGGGTAGTGTTTGTTCTAACTTTCTTTCTGATATTACTCGGGCAAAAAAAAAAAAAAAAACTAGATGGATCTATAAAGTTAATATTAAAAGAGGAAATTAACGTCGACTATGAAATCAATTTACTATATCAATAGCTCAAGAACTTTGTGAGCTATTAAGTTATGATTCTGTGAATTAGTGAGCTATGTTCTTATCATTAAGTGTTGAGTAAGTTATTAATCATTTTAAATGAAGTGAGGAAGTGTTGTAAATTATTATTTCATTCATCATGTAGTGCGAATAACTATTTTTCTTCCAACGCCTAGGCGAACTAGGCGCTAGGCAAAGTCTCAACGCCTGCTTTACGCCTAGCGCCTTCTTGAACTTGGTTTTAGCCCATGCCCAAACCTGCCCCGTTAAAGGTATTTACTATTTCGTCACATGCAAAAAAATATAAGGAGCTTAATGTAAAATTTTCAAACAAAGTCCGGCAGCGCCAAATGCACGGTTCGGCCGTCGCCAGCGCTGGTAGCTCGACGTTCCTCTCCAAGAAGCATCAATGCCTCGCACTGCTCAAGCTCTGCTCTTCAATCAAACACCTCTATCAGCTCCATGCCCAAATCCAAATCTGCGGACTCCAGAGCGACTCCTTTCTAGCGACGGAACTAATCCGGGTATGTTCACTCTCTTCTCGGAAAAACCTGAATCACGCACGAACCATCCTCAGCCGATTGGCTAACCCACCTCCAGCGGCTTGGAATCTCCTCATTCGTGGTTATTCCTCCAGCGACGACCCTAGAGGAACCATACTCCTCTTCCGCCAGATGCTCAGAGGAGGGATCACCCCCAATAACCTCACTTTCCCATTCGTTCTCAACGCCTGCGCTTCTTCTTCTTCCTCTTCTTGCTCGGCGGAGATCAAAGAAGGGGAACAGGTCCACGCCCACGTCGCGAAATCTGGGTTGGACTGCTCTGATGTCTACGTAGGGAACAATTTGATCCATTTCTATGGCTCATGCAAAAGGGTATCTCGTGCTCGCAAGGTGTTTGACAAAATGCCCGAGAGGAGTGTAGTGTCGTGGAATGCTGTGATCACTGCCTGCGTTGGGTGCTCGAGTACAGAGGACGCAATTCAGTACTTTAGGGAAATGAAAGGTTCCGGGTTTGAACCTGATGAGGCGACGATGGTGGTCATGCTTTCACTCTGCGCCGAGGTGGGAAACTTGGGGCTAGGCAAATTGATTCATTCTCAAGTGATCGAGCAAGGAATGGAATTGACTCACCAGCTGGGCACAGCCCTCGTCGACATGTACTCAAAAGCAGGGAACTTGGTTTACGCCATGTCTATCTTTGAATCCATGGAGGAGAAAAGGAGAAATGCTTGGACTTGGAGTGCAATGATCTTAGGGCTAGCTCAACATGGCTTCGCCAAGCAAGCCCTCCTGCTCTTCCGTCGAATGATCTCTTCCACCTCCTCATCGATCCAACCCAATTATGTCACCTTCCTTGGAGTCCTCTCTGCCTGCAGCCATGCGGGTTTGGTCCAAGAAGGGTTCAACTACTTCCATGAGATGCAACATAAATACGGGATCAAACCCACTGCAGTTCACTACGGCGCTATGGTGGATATACTAGCCCGTGCAGGTTACTTGAAGGAGGCGTATGAGTTTGCCTCGAGCATGCCTTGCCGGAGGGACCCTATAGTTTGGAGGACTCTGCTCGGTGCTTGCCGTGGTAGGAACTGTGGTGGTAGTGATGGTGAATTGGTGGAGGAGGTGAGGAGGCGGCTGCTGGAGCTTGAGCCTAGGAGGAGTGGGAATCTGGTGATAGTGGCGAATCTGTATGCAGGTGCTGGGATGTGGGAGAGAGTTGAGGATGTTAGGAAGGGGATGAGAGATGGGGGGTTGAAGACTAGAGGTGGGGAGAGTTGGATTGAGTTGGGTGGTTCAGTTCATCAATTCTTCTCTGGTTGTGGTCTGGAGGAGGGGGCAGAAGTGATGAACCGGGTACTGATTGGATTGGATCTTCATGTTAGGATGGTACATTTCGATTGAAGGGAAGTATGGCTGTTATCTTTGTAGAACGAAGAACAATGTTTTCGTTCCTTGGCTAACAAGTAACCACCACTTAGGACACCTGACGCTGCCTGTCAATCAGACCAGTTGTGGCTTCTTGCACCCGCCCAACGACAGGTATTCATTTTGCTCATGTTAATGTGGATGTGCTCGTTTTAGCATTCAAATCCACTTATCTTTGTAGCCAAAATAAACACATTCCTTATATCGGCAACATTTGATTTTGGAAATTTGCAATTGCAGGCTGTTCTAGAATTCTATCACCTTCACGTAAAAACTTACAGCCTCTACAGCAGTTTGAGAAGTATTATATTGAAGGCACCAAGGCAAAGTCTGGATCTCATCCTCTCGAAGGATCTCGTGAAATTCGACGATTGCTTGGTAGTTCTACAGAATCAGGTCTCGATGGATGTGACCCAAGCATTGTATTGAGTCCAACGAAGAGCGAGATATTGACCGACTAGAGTGTGGTGGTTTATGGGGTACGAGTTGCTCGGCGGCATAATGTAACAAATATCTGATTGCGAAATCATATATTACTGTAATACCCGTGGTAGAATAAGCTTGTATCGAATTGTTCATCAACGAAATTGCATATTACTGTAGTACCCGTGGTAGAATAATCAATAATATAGTGAATGTCATATTAATATCAATGCTTCATGTAACAATGTTTCTTTTCCCAAACGGTTGATATTAGGTTTATGGTATATATATAAGAATATAACATACCAAAGACTTTATAGACATATGATTCGATAGGAAACAAAAAGTCGCAACATGCAAGTTTTTTCTTAAGTTCAATACCTGTAATCCATATTACTGAAATAAATTACTATGTACATAATAATCGATATTTTTCTCGAAATTTATTATCTACAATCCACAATGGGAATGAATTGGGTAGAAAATAACAGTAAGTTTGAGTTTGCTGTAAGGAGTTTAAGTGCTACACTAAACGTGATGGCAATAACAAAGATCACAAATGAAAGTATTGGTTCCTATCAGTCTCCTGAGGAAGCTTTAGACAGGTGAGTGCCAACCATTAGATGGCGGTCCATCTAGCATCCTTCTTGAAGTTGATACTGATGGTCGTTGTTTATTATCTACCAAGTAAGGAACGATGAACGTCTTCATGTCGCTCTCTGAGATCCCCAGATGTCCCCCTGAGACATTCACAAAGTGAACTCTACCTGCCTCGTCCAGTTTTCTCAGCCCGATCCAGTCCTCAATGTACAGTTTAGTCTGCAAAACAACCAGCAATAAGCAAGTTTCAGTACCCAGAAACGTTTGCTACCAATTGAGTGCAGATACGTACTTCTTGTGGGGGCAAAACTGGCTCGAATTCTCCATCTGGGTAGTACCCAAACCAAGAGGTTTCTCTCGGGATCACAACCTTGTCATCATCAAACTGGGGTCATAATGGAGAGAAACAAGGAAAAGTTAGCAGACATACAATTGGAACTGCGGAAAGGATTGGGACAAGGTAGACAGGATTACAGGAACTTACCATGATGAGCACCAATTTCTCGAGGCTACTGAACCTCTCCTTGAACGTGGAATTCCTCCTGTCCGGAATTTCATTGTTCAGCTTGGGAAGGAATTGGCATTTCTCCAAGTAGCTCGAGATAGCCTGGGAGAATAAGTAGTATGTTATGCTATCATCTTATAGCCTGAGAGGACAACTACTACTTTCTTGAGTGTCAAACAAACTCACATTAGGCAGTTTGAGGTAGCCACTTGGAGCCAGGTGCTCCTGCATTATTTCCAAACTCTCTGGAGTTCAATTGCAGTTACTTAGTTGAGATTTGACTCATTTAATTTAAGGATAACAACTTACCTGTACGAAATCGCTATAGACCTCTGATTTGATTAGCTTGTCTGCTATAATGCAAAGGAACCCACTCTGCCAAAAAGTCATAACCAAAGAGAGCTTAAAATTCATTAAATTAATTTTTATTTGATGGATGGAGTCTGTGAAAGCTAAGACAGTATTGAAAACTTACACCACAGAGAGGCACAGAAGCTGTGCCAGCGTGAGGCCCAGCCAGTGAGATAAAGTTCTTGACCTGTTGGGGCAATGAACATAATCAGAACCGCTAAACGAGGATTAGAGTGGACTAAGTTGGAAAAAAGTGTGAAGCTTTACTCACAGGAGGAGCACCATCACAGAACTCTAGCACCCCTCGACCAATCAAGTTGCCCTGCATAAAACAAACTAACAGTTCAAGCTATGAACTACTCTCATTTGCACTTTTAGCAATTATGAGTTATGCAATTTTGTTATATATGAGAGAATGGAAATACTCGCCTGGGAAAGACCAACTATGTTGAAACCGTTACTCAGTTCTTTCATTTCCTTCACCTAATATAACTCTTCCATAAGCTCACATTCTGAGGAAAACTGTAAAACTGACTATAGTATATCCTCCCAGATCCCACCTCACCTTTTCACAGACGATATTCGTCTGCAAGAACATAATAGCATGACATCAGACACCATTTGCATGCTCGTTTGTGAAAGGTTTAATGGTATTTGTAGTACTTGTATTATCAAGGGCGAGCTTATTAGTAACGGATTAGGAGATCTATCTTGAAAGACTTTAAACGAATAAATGATACATTATATGGAAATATTTGTTTAAAGCTGCAAGTGCATTAGACATTTAGCAAGATAGTAATTGCAGTCTTTAATTCTAAGTCTTAACCTGTTCCTCAAGAGGCAAAAACCATGAATCCCATACTCCATTACCAACTTCACTGCAGAAACAATGGTAACAAACGAATTGCCACATCAATTAAGACCATTTGAACATTTTGCTTCTGCAAGTCTAAATCAAGGCTAAAAACCAATAGGGGAACTCCAGTTCATCCTATGCTTACAGAGAAAGTAAACAATTTATGCAAAACCAGTAAAAGTAAGTTTGTGGGATGTGTTCGCAATGATCTGAAACATACAGACAATGTCCTGAAGAACCAGAGAAGGCAATCAGTTGGTCGGTGAAGCTCTTCACTCCTTTACTCTTGCACTCATCTGCAATACCTGTCAAGCTAGCAGGATTAAGATTCAAATAACCCGACAAATGAGGAAAATAAATTCCAGCATAAGGGTTCCTTAATTTGCACTCAAAAGTTCCTTTCATTCCCCACCATCCATATAGTACACGATCCTGTTTCTCCCATTTCCAGGGAAGAAGCCACCTTTATGCAACTAACTAGTCAAAATTATTTGAAACATAAATTTCCTATTGAGCCCACAAAATACAGAATCCCGGTTTGCCTTCTAGTTAAGTAATTGATTTCTAACATTCAAATCAGTTTCACTTTATCCCTTTACAATCACCATCAACAAATCACAAACACAAAGCACTCTACCACTCAAGCTATATGCAACCCTCTTTCTCTTTTTGGTTAAACACAGAAACATGCTTCTGCCCGCTTCATCTCATGAAAGCATATTTCATACAAGTGGGATTCCCCAATAGGAAGAACCCATTTCAAAAGTTTCACAATAACAGCTAATGAAATAGAAAACATGGGCAAAAGGCATGAAAAGGAAAGAAAAAAAAAAATGAAAGCGCATGGAATGAATAACTATTACCGTGGAGTACGATAAAGGGTAAAGAGGAATAAGCAGCAGGTGGTGGGGAGAAGATTAAAAGGGTTAGGAAAACAACAAGTGGGAAGTGAGACGAAGCCATCGGAGATCTTTTTCTCCCTTTTTCTGGGTTCTTTTGCCGGCGGGAAATAAGGCAATTAACTCCGGGAAACAGATGGCGGGCGAGGTATGGCGGAAAAGCAAATGAAGGGCGGCGGCGATTGGTGGTTTTCTACGGGTAGAAATCAAGGCGGCCGGCCATCCATCATTTCATCGATCCATGATCGATATTGGCAATCGATTCGATGATGGGTTGGGCAGAGTTTCTGCTGTCCCTGCAAGTTTTTGCTTTTCGTCGGCTTGTGGAAGTATAAGAACGGCGTGGGGTAGTTACTTGTTTATTGATGCCTGGTTGGTTGGAAGGGTTGGTAGTTACCCAATTAATTAGAAACATGTACGGTACACGAAACTTCTGAATTAAACGCAATAGCAGTGGAGAATGTTGCTATGACTTAAGAACAAATTATCAGTTGTTGATTAGACTAGATTGTTTAGAGAAAGTAGAATATATATCTTTTTAATATTTGTAATTTGTATCTTTTTAAGTATATTCAAATTGTTATTTTTTGTTCTTTGACGTGGCTCACATACATCATGTTAGTAAACCATGTAAATTTTTATATTTTTTACTCCTCAATCGGGTCTAACAGACAAATCTTCAATGGGAGAGTTGACACTATGCTTTGCACATTACTGGTTGAAGTGGAAATGAAACCGTTACTTGAAACCCTGAAACTTGCACAAGAATTGTTAATCCCTGTTAAAACACGAGCAAATTGTTTCGTCTTGGTCAAAGCCCTCTTCGATCTCCCATCCTTGTGGCTTGAAGGTGTTCAGCCTGGATCGGTACAATGGTCGATATCCTGAAGACGAATCCAATGATCAAGGTTGATTTCTTTAGAAGGAAGTTGATAGAGCAAATTGGGTAGCCAGATCACTCACTCATGATTTCCTCCCAGATGATCGAATTGTCATTCTTGACTTGCTTTTCAGATTTCTTCCTATGACCTATCTTACCCATATACTTGGATATGCAATATAAGCGGCACCCTGTTAGTAAAAATGCAATAGCACAACAATCCATTTCTCTTTTCAATGCTTTTGAAAAAATTTAGAATCCAATGCCAAATACTTGGGGATTAAATATGGGTTTTCGCGTGAAAAAAATAATTTTTAGGGTAAACAAATACCAATTTGATCATCAATTTCTATTTGTATTCATATATCATATTAAGCACAGAACTCAACATCTTATGTTACATTATTGAACAGTTGCGGAACCATTTTTTGACGCGAGGGAGTCAAGTTGCATATTAGAATTAACAATACATGTAAACTTCTACAAATTTTGGAAGTTAGAAAAGTTGGTAAGTCATTGATCACATGTGCACGATTAGTATCTGCTCCTCTCACTTAAATTTCTAAATTCGCAGCTAATTATAAACGATAATATTTCATTAGTAATATGATAAACACCAATTAATTACATATACCTTTTATACATAATAATGAAAGAGGATCACTGTGGTCTCTGATTATTGTATTCTCTTCCTCTATGCTAATTGCTACACATGTCCATAATTGCATTTTTCTGAACATAATGGCAGGAGTGACTTCAAGGGAGGGGAAATCTTCAAACATTAACTATTGCCATCATCATCATCATCATCATAGTAAGAATCAAATGGTCCCCAGTTCTTGCTGAACCATGAAAAATCACTGCAAACAATCAATGTTCTTCCTTCCAGTTGCTTTTTTCCTGCTTCTTCTCCCCCAAAGTTGATGATGTTGGTGTCAGTCAGGTATTGAATCTTGGGGGGATGTTAGCATTGAATTAGTGAGCAGCAGCAGGAAGCAAGTGAGGGATCACATATTGCTTGAGGTCACTGTCTGAAATCCCAAGGTGGCCTCCTGGCACTTTCACAAATTGTACTCTTCCTTCCTCATTCATCTGCTTCAGCCCTATCCAGTCCTCTTGGTATAGTCTCGT